CTATGCTAATGACTACTGTGTTTGCGCAAGATTTATCTGATATGCTGCATTTTTTTCGCCCAGTGTGTAGAATTTAATGGAATACAGTTGTGCTATCGAAGCATTTAAATTTTAGCATTTTTCACACCGTTATTTCAGAGGTAAGAAACAACTAATCACTGGACTGTTCCATGTACTCCATTCTTTGTTCCAAATTATTGGATCCTTTAGTGCTGTTGGCGCGACTAGTTCACAAGAGGTCTCGACTTCAAGGCTCTCCTGAAGGATGGACGAGCCACCCTTCAGGCCATGCCTTCTATCTCCTACCAATATTCCCTGCAGGAAACAGAATTTAAATTGGCATTGAAGAACACATTTCTAAATTGAATTGCCCAATCTAATTCGTATTCCCAAATGCTGTTCTTTATCGGTTTTAGACAAATTGGTTTATCCCTAATCATTACAGGACTTAATTTAAGCATTTTAGCCTTGTCAAGGCCTTCGTTGATTTAAAATTCCGAAAGTATTTCTATTAAAATGCATGAATTGGTGGAACTCTTTGACTATTGCCTATATTGTCAATCCAAGGAGCAGTTGATTCTGAGGGAACGGAGATAATTAGGCCCAAATTTACCCGGCCCGATTGTTTATACAAGGTCTTTTTTGCACCCTTATTAGTAAATCGTGACTTCTCTATTGGACCGAGTGAAATTACTCTGTAGACATCATCAGTCATTCTATTATTATGCGACACTTTGATCATGAAGTGACTGAGTCAGCAGTCTGGTAATTAATGTGAACCCAGAAGACTTATCGGACGATTTTATTCAGACGCAATTCTTCCTTTTCATCACTAGGACCAATCTCTCTCTCTCTTCTAATAACCCCTTCCTCGTTCATTCTATCTCCACACTAAATCTACTCAGTCCGCAGAGATTTGGTTTTCTATTCATTGTTGTCGCAGATTTTTCCCTTGGATCATCTGTACTGTGTGTGGGATCTTACATTAAACTTTGCTAGCAGCTAGATATTCTTCTTAATTACAGGCCATTGTTTTCGGGTTAGTCTTCTTCTTCTAAATCATGCATTATTTTTAAAGTTTGTTTTTAATCTTAACTCTTTTCAAGTGAGTGTTACGCTAATTAACATTTTATTTTGCTAATAAATGGTGAAATACCATTTCATTGTGGTTCAACATAATTACACATAAACAGTAATGTTTGCGATATTAATACTTGAAGATAATTTCTGATTTCATTCATTATCGATAGAGAGGAATCAATATTCCCACTTAAAGGATCCTCTCACCCAAAGTACTGGCTGATTCCACATTGATTTCACCCAATTAACCAATTGTATGCCTAAATAAGGCGACCAAAATGGAATTAACCTCGAAATTCTATTAATTGCAAATTAATACGTTTAAACAAATTCCGATTGATTTGTGGGTGATTGCCATTGCTATTATTAGATTTATCTATTTTCCAGCTTAATTAACCCCCTTCCACTTCAAAAATTGCATTAATAAATCTTGTTCAAGGTCAGTGTTCTAGCAATTTTGGTGCTATCAGCCAAAACGCTTTTTGGGTAGAAAAGGAGAATATGCTTAATAATATGTCATCGAGATGAAAGTATCTTCTCCGATTGACTTATAAAATGTTATTTAAGCAAATTTTATGATTAGCTGTCTTTGGAGGATGTTTGCGATTTGTTTGATTTAGAAAAAAATATATATATTTTTTGCTGCTATCCGGATGTGCCTCAAAAGTGAATATGCACTCAATTTGGAATATTTGGATGGGGATTTTTCATTTCATTGAATTTTGTTGAAGGGTAGCGTGAATTTTCGCATAATTTTCCGATCATTAAACCCAAATGCCTTTGCCATTTAGGCAAAAAATACATGCTCAAAATTAGTGGAACTAGATCTCGATTAATTTTAGTACAAAATTTATTTATATCAAATGGCAGGCGTTTTGGTGGTTATCATTAGCTCTTTAGTTGACTTCTGGCCTCACAGAGGGGAGGAGGAACATCAAAATGAAAAAAAGTCGAGAAGGGGGAGGAACAGAAGAGTGTTTCAAAGATGCAAAAGAGACAGACACAAAGGTAGAAAAAAGGTGAGGTGAGTACTATGGAAGTAGTCGAATATGACATACATTGGGGTGGTGGTAGTTTGAAGTGAGAAGTCAACTGCCAGTTAATAGACTTTTTTGCCGTATGAGTATACGTTGCCCAGGGTGTACCACGTGGAGGTAAGTCTATCGCACACCCCATATTACGAAATAAAGCATCGCATATGAATAAAGGGTAGACCAATAATGCCCGAGATTCCCACTATCATCGTCAATCGGGTTGAACGTATCTGACCGAGGTTAACTCTATGTATCTAAAACTATTCATTTGCAATATCTTTCGTTCTAAGCGTATTTATGCACCCCAGTTCATCGAAAATGTGGTGCGCGATATAGATTTACCTCCACACGATGTACCTTGGGCAACGTACACTCATACGGCAAGTCTATATACCGACAGTTGACTTCAAACTACCATGACCACACCCTCACAACCTGCAAAAATAAGCAAAAGCCAGAACTGTGCAAAGCACCAAGCACGTTGCTAACCCGCATGCCGGCCACCACCAACGCACTTGCCTGTTTGAAAAGTGGACCAGTAAGAAGCTGGCTTGAAAAGATCATCTTCAGGTCACATGCTGAAATAAATGATTATAGGAAGACGGTAGCTTTCTCCTGCCCCTTGCACTCTTCGTGCTATTGTTCACGTTTCTGTCTTCCATACATCTTACAGACGTAACGCCCAAGCATATAAGCTTGGTATATCTATAGGAACCTAACTAAAAAGGATTGTTAAGATCACGCTAGCAAAAAACATGATGATAAGGAATAGATCTCAACTAAGACTTGACACTTATTAGAAGTCATCAGGATAACCTTGATAAAAAGTAAACCGGAGTAGGTAAAAATTCTCTATAATTGAGCGTCCTTGCCTTTCAGATAAAATGCGGTGTAGATTAGAAACAAGACTTCAATTCTCCAATCAAACATTTAGAAGGAAGGGAGAGAGCATTATCAGAAAAAAATATCACTTCTTATTCTACAAGTAAGGAGGAGTGAATATACAGAGTAGTGCTAACAAGCTTCCGACTGCATATCGGTCAAACTCGAATCAATGGACTGTTGACACTGGAGGAGACTCAATTCAAGTTGATTTTTCTGCTCCGGCTCCAGAGGCCAGGTGTCGATGAAAATCTACAAAATACAAATGGAATTGGTCGAATTATTTAATTTTTGTAATTTAGCAATGTGGTTAATGAAATTTGAATAAAGGCATTTCATTTTGGAAGCATTGAATAAATTAACTATTCGTCTCATCTAGCGTCAAAGTCAATAACACGGACGACTGGCTACATTCCATCAAAAAAATAAGCATTAAATGTTTTGTTGAATTTTAAGACTGAACAATCCTATTTAAATTAGTCAGATTAGTAAATTTATGATAATTCTCAAAATTTAAAAAAAGGCATTCTGAGGACATTCTAATAATTTGACTAGCCTCCACTGACTTATTAAAAAATGAGGTTCACAGAACGTGTCACGATAGATATCGAACGCGTAGGATGACAAGACCTTTCGCTGACCAAAACTCAAGCCTGTAAGAAATAAGTGACGTCGTCGAGATCTACGGAGAACTTTTGACGTCCAAATGAGTTTCACAATAAACAAATTAGATTCGAAGTCAAAATATTACTGACAAAATCATCTCGGTTTCGAACGGATAAAAGAGCGATGTATAGCTATGACAACCTTATCCCACTATATATGTACCCCATTAAGTTCTGAACAGAACAACATAGAGAACATTTCTAAATTTCAGAGCATTGATATAAAAATTTTACGATTGGGTGAGCCAAAGCAAGCAAAAGACCAAGTATATCACTTTTGATTCTCAGTGGAGTTAAGTAAAAGCCCAAATTTAGTGAATTAAAGCGTCAGCAAGGCAAAAGGGTACTACCATATTTTATTCATTTCAATGACCATAATATCCCTATTTGGACTGATTTTCACAGATAATCAAGTTCAGAACAACAGA